TTTTTTTAGATAGCAAAGATCAACGGCCGAAAAATCCTAATTTGCGCTGTTTTTTTGTCTTTTTTTTCACATTCTTTTCCGCTAGTACATGGACAGATACAGGCCCCATTTTTTCTTTTTTATTTATTTTCTATTGTTTTTGTCTTTGTTTTTCACATTCTTGGAAGTGGTGCGGCGAGGCCCATGCTTCGCAGATTCGCAGATTCGGGACCCGTGCCTGGATTCACGGCGACCTGCGACATAGCGCAATGCTCTCTCGCCTGTGGTGTGGTTTTCTACCCGAAGCACGGGCCAAAACTCCGAAATTGACGGGAAGCCTCTTGCTTTTAGGGAGGGACCCCACAGGACGGCGGCAAAGGGATTCGAAAGCCCAGCCTCTTGCTTGTGTTGTTGTTTTCTACGTGTGAGTATGCTTTAGAATATTACAGGGATATAGTGACCACGAGAAGACCCTTTGACTCCCCAGACATGGACTTGGCAGAATACTCAGACTTTTGGGAGGCTCCCTATGCGACGATCTCTCATTCTGCCAAGGAAGAGTTGGACCAGCCCATGACCGAAAGGGAATTGCTGGCTGCAGCAAAGCTCATGGCTAAGGGCAAGTGCCCCGGCTTGGACGGGCTCCCAGTGGAACTCTTCCTAGCATCGTGGCACGCCTTTGGCCCGTTCCTATGTGAGATATATAATAGGGCTTTGGTGACAGGGTCATTTCCAAAAAAATTTACTAAGGGAATAATTTCCCTCCTCTATAAAAACGGGGATAAAAGGGAAGTGCGGAACTGGAGGCCGGTTTCGGTCCTTAACGTGTCTTATAAACTGTTTGCTAAAACATAGGCCCTGAGATTGGCAAAGTTTTTGCCGGCCCTTATTGGATGGGAGCAAGGGGCTTTTGTCAAAGGGCGCTCGATATTTGATAATATTTTGGCAACGGTTCAAGCACTCGAAGTAATTGGGAAGGAAAAGAGAGACGTTGTGGTCCTCCTCCTGGATATGGAGAAGGCTTATGACAAGGTTGGGTGGAGCTTCGTCCATACTACTTTGAAAAGTCTGGGATTTGGTCAAGGGTTCTGTAGATGGGATAAGGCTAGTTACGCAGATGCATCCTCAGTCGTCTTAGTAAATGGTAGACTGTCTGACAGCTTCCGCCTGTCTTGTTCACTAAGGCAGGGTTGTCCTTTAGCCCCTCTTTTCTTTATCCTTCAATTGGAGATACTACTAAATAAGCCCCTCTTTTCTTTATCCTTCAATTGGAGATACTACTAAATAACATTCAAAAAAATGAAACAATTAAAGGTCGCCAACTATCTCAAACAACTCAATGGAAAGGGGGTGCCATTGCAGATAATCTAACATTAGTTAGTGAAAACACGGTAGAATCCCTGAAAGAATTAAGGTCGGTTATTGATACCTACTGTATACTATCTGAAGCCTCCATAAATTGAGACAAGTCGGTCTACTTCCTTCCCCCTTCTCAAAGTTTGTGTGTCAATTGGGAATTGAGGCAAATCCCGGCTAACTCATCAGATCGTTTCCTGGGAATTCAAGTGTCACTTTCAGACTGTGCAGAGGTACAAGATGACATTCTGGTGAGGAAAGTCTCAGCCAGAATTGCAAGATGGGGCCGGAGTCACAAACTGTCACTGTATGGAAGAGCTATGATCCTCTCTTCGGCGGCATTCTCCATCCTCTGGTTCCCCCCCTCAGTTCACTTGTTGGGAGGTGGGGCACAGGCACGGGTCAGAAGGACAGCGGCTCGGTACCTGTGGAAATCAGCAGCCCAAAAACACCAACGATTTATTTCTAAGGTGGCTTAGTGCGGCCAGGGATATGGGGGGTCTAGGGATCTTAGACTCAGTGCATCAGAACTTAGCTCTACTCATCAAATGCATTATGGCGGCTACATGGGGATCACGTTCCAAATGGTGGGTTAGACTTGCAAAACATCTCTTGTCTATAGACTGGGGACTGTCCAGTAACAGCGATGTTTGAAGATGCACGTTTATCCCGTCCTTTGTGAATCGCCGCCCCAAGTCGAGATTTTAGAGAAATGTCCTTCATGCATGGAGCAAGTTGTTCCCTATGGAAAGACCACAACCGTCAACACTACATGAAGTTCTCAACCAGTTTCTTTTCGAGAATCCTTGGATCTTGAAGGAAGATGGGTCCCCATTCATGGAAGATGGCTCCATAGGGTCTTTTGGAAGAACCTGGGCAAAGAAAGGAGTTATTCAGATAAAAGACGTATGGGATCAGAGAAGGTAGATGGCTCCATAGGGTCTTTCGGAAGAACCTGGGCAGAGAAAGGAGTTATTCAGATAAAAGACGTCTGGGATCAGAGAAGCGGCTGTTGGATACAGTGGAATTGGTTGTGTAAGTTGCTTCCTCGCTGTCAGAATGTTGAGAGACACTTTTTTTTCTGAGATCAAGGAATCTATATCGGATTTCTGGTTGACTATCCTACAGAATATTGATGAGCCTCAGGCAGGGACCTGGTTAAAGGATCCCAATACACCAGGTACATTCTTGCGGGTGGTAGAGCCAGAGATCTCACATGGGACCAAGGTGCAAGTCTGGCACACGTTCAAGGATAAAAAGTTGCTCACGTGCTTAAAGCACATTGGTGAGAAGGTGGTGGTCTTTACAGGTGGCTTTGAGGAAAGCAGAGTTTGGCCGCCAGACCCAAAAGGCAAAGGCAAGATACAACTCCTATATGATGAGGCTTCAGATATTTCGATTGAGCCTACTCACTTCGGTTGGGCAGGTCTAGACTCGCCATCTTCTTTCTCCCCGATCTTCCAATATAAACCAGGATGGGGGGTGAAGATTCTCAGAGCAAAAGGCAAGAAGCAGTCTATTTCTATTGCTTCTGATCGTTTGAGGAAAGAACATGGTTTTGAAGCAAGCTCGGTGGATTTATCCAAGCTGTGGAGAGCCTTAAAACTCATTCCGTCTCAGAAGCAGGTCAGTCTGCAATGACTCCAATCGCTCCTGGCTACTCCGTCGGCCAAATGGTTTTCGGATAAAGGATTGTTCGTTGACGTCCAATGTGTTCGCTGCCAGTGGGGTTGGGAGACAGCCACACATATATGGTTATACTGTCCAGTATCTCTTCAAGTTTAGAACTGGTGGCAACACCATTGGCAGAATTGGACGAAGGGTGAATTTCCTTGCTCTCACGAATGAATTATGTATGGTCCCGCCCCTGTAGAAGTAGATTTAGTCGTTGGCTAGGGATACATTGCTCTGGTATGTAGAGGAGTCATAATGGAAGCAATTTGGAAAGGGAGAAACATTGTCGTGTTTTGCTACGAGATCTTATCGTTTCACATGTTAGTTGCCGAGATAAAAAGTCAAATTCGTCTGACTACAAAAGTAGAGTGGAGGGACCCCAAAATCCAGGCAAAGTAGAACAAGGTTTGGTTGGCCAAGACTTGGTTTAATAACAGTCTTTTAGCCTCTGCCTCATCAAAAGGGAGTCTGAATATCTGTTCTTGGTTTCTGCAAAATGTCTCAGATGACACGGTCAATGGGCCGAGATAGGCCCTGATATTTTCTTATGTGTTTTTGGAAATTGGTCAGGATAGACCAATCAGGGTGGATGGGTCAATTTAGGCCCGATGGTGGTTCGTAGAAGATTCAGTGTAACTGAGAGATATATATGCTTAATGATTGATGTTTATTATAGGTTTCAAACTCTCTAGATCACAAATTGCAGTTTTGCAGATGGTTACTGCTGAGCCAAAATTGACAGGGTCGTGATAGGCCTGCAGGGAATGTGGTTGCATCAGTATTTTATTAAATGGAAGTAGGGCGTAGTTTTTAGTCTTTACGATTTTAAATGTTTTTTGAAAGTTATTTCCTACGTAGTGTGTGGTAGTGTTGACGACTATTGTAGCTTTCTTGTGGATAATGCATTGTTGGATTTAGTAATTGTACTAGTGTTTGGTTAGTAGTTTTTCGTTCTGTGATAGGATTGTTATTGGTCGTAGGAGGATGCATAGGGAGTTTTTCTCTCAAGGGGAAGGAGGCAGAGTAGGTAGTGGTACTTGATATTTGTTGTTACGATCACCGGGTCCTTTTGGTCGCTGCCAGAATAACTCTGGGTTGAATTGTGAGGTCCCAGGCCTCGTATGTTCTTGTTAAAAAAAAAAAAAAAAAAAAAAAAATCCAGCCTACTGCCCACCATCGACGGAGATAATGAAACAGAGGGGACCCCACCGCGAAATGTTGTTT